GACAGCCGTGGCACAGGTGCAGGCACACACACAACCCCTCCCACGGACAGCCGTGGCACAGGTGCGGGCACACACACAACCCCTCCCACGGACAGCTGTGGCACAGGTGCGGGCACACACACAAGCCCTCCCACGGACAGCCGTGGCACAGGTGCGGGTGGGATGGCTGCAAGCCGCTCCTGCTCCCACGGTTCCCAGGTAGGTGTTTCACGCTCCTCATTCGCTGTTTGCTGCTGTGGGGTCCGTTCTACCTCGAGGGCTCGGGACAAACCAAATGGCGCTGCCATCTAGTTGGAGCTCCTGGGGATGCCACGTGTGCCCCACTGGGTCCTCTTGGCTCTGGTTGCTCAGAAGCAGATCGCCTGGCCTTGCTTCCACTGCACTGCCGACTCTTTAGGCGCATAGTCAAGGGCAAAGCGTGTCGCCAAGGACCTTTGAGCATTAGCGCCCTGCTATCGAGTCCATGCCGACTTACAGCGACCCTATAGGGCAGGGCGGAACTGCCCGCGTGGGTTTACAAGACTAACTCTCGACAGGAGTAGAAAGCCTCATTTTGTTTCCACGCAGAGAAGGCAGTGGTTTCAAACTGCTGACCTTGTGGAGCGCAGCCCAACGCATAACCTCTGTGGCCCCAGGGCTCCCTTTTAAACAAGCTAAAGGTTGGGTGTTCACTGAGCCAGCCGCACAGCAACATTTCTCCAACCACACGCTGCCGCTCGCGTCTCAGTGTCACACGGCAGCAGGCTCACATTTGAGCCTTTCCCATCGTGCGGTAGTGCACATTCGTGCCCAAACCCGCGCTCACTGCCATCGGTTTGGTTCCCACTCACAGCGACCCCGTGAGGGTATCCGAGGCCCCCCCAGTCTGCCCACACGGGCGCCGGCAGCCTTATCTTCCCCAGGAGCAGCGGCCAGTTAGCAGTCCAAGGCTCACCGCACGGCGGAGCCCCTAGACCGCCTTTAACACCAGCAGCAGAGCTTTGCCATGTGCAGGGCACCCACATCCTGTGGCTCGCCGCCCCGTGACCACGGGGCCTTCCTCGCGGTGGGCTGCGATTAAAATTAGCCGCCTCTGCAAATCTTGCGGCACTCTGCCGATATCCACAGACATTTGCTTTGTGCGTGCCGTTTCTACAAGGCACATATATCTCCCATAAAGCAACTCGAACCCAGAGGACAGGGCTTCCAGAATGGGTTGCCAGGTCTCTCTTCCAAGTTTTAATCCAGACTTCTCCTGTGAAACTTGCACACCCTGGGTGACCCAGGTGGTACTGAGCATGCCGGTGGCGTGCTGATGGGCCATGGATCCTGGGGGCACCTCCCCCTTCCCTCCCCCACACACTGGGCCTGACAGTGACCCCCGTTTCTCCCCTCATTGCTCCTAGCCACCTCCCAGGTGATGCTGCTGCCACCCCGGCCATCCACCCTCCGCCCCTCTCCAGAAGCCACGGACCCGCCGCCCACCCTGCGCGCCTCCCCGGAGACCATGGAACCGCCGCCCACCTCGTCCTCGCCGCCGCATTACTACCTGCTCATCGACACGCAAGGCGTGCCCTACAAGTACACGGCGCACCGCAAGGAGGGGCGGCGGCCGCTGGCTGAGGAGCCCGCCCCCGACGGCGGCCAGGAGGAGGAGGCGGAGGCCCGCAGCTGCCCCTGCCCAGAGTGCGGCCGCGTGTGCAGCTCGCCCATGCAGCTGCAGCGCCACCTCCTGACGCACTCCATGGTCAGGCCGTTCACCTGTGACACCTGCGACCGCGCCTTCAAGCGCTCCAGCGACCTGGCGCGCCACCGGCGCATGGCGCACAACACGGTGCGGCGCACGGGCACCGATCGGCCCTACGTGTGCCCGTACTGCCCGCGCCGTTTCCAGGACACGGCGACGTTGGCTGAGCACGTGCCCACGCACTAGGGGATGCCACCCCGCGGCCCCGCCCCTCGGGAGCGCCCCGCCCACGGCGATCGGTGCTTTGGGACATTGGGACATAAGGCCGCTGCCTGCCCCCAAGGCCTCCGTTTCCCCGCCTGCCCGATGGAGTGATCCCAACCCCTCTGCCCCTCTGTCTAGATGTGTGGTGGGTGGGCCTCCACTTACCCACATCGACAGAGTATTATACCTTCCCCACTGCTGATGAGCCGAGTCTGGTCATTTCTGGGCACCGCGTACCCTCTGCCAGGGAGGTGGGCAGTCTGGGCCTCCATTTCCCCAAGGGGAGAAGTATCACCCTGTCACTGTATCCCTCTACCTGGTATCACCTGGGCCTCTGTTTCCCCACCTGTGCCATGGGAAGTGTCTCCCCCAGTCTGTACCAGGTCATGCCTGGGCCTCAGTTTCCCCACTTGCCCAGCTGGTGAACTCACTTTCTCCGGACCCCATGTGGATAGGTGTGGCCCAGCAGACAGAGGATAAGCCTCTGGGGACTGCCCTCCCTATGGGGCACCCTCTGGCAGAGGCCCCACCCGGCTGTGACTTAGTTCACAGTGACTCTTCGTAGGAACTCAACGTAGCAGCATCCTTACAATGGGTGTCACCTGTTTTAGCCCACTGCTGCAACCACTGTGGGGGTCCATCAGTCTGCCTCTCCTCCCCCACTCCCCTTCACTCGGTTTCACCAACCAAGATTCCCTTTACCAGTGACTGATCTGGTAACGTGTCCAAAGCAGGTGAGATGAAGGCTTGCCATCCTCACTGCTAAGGTGCACCTACCTCATTCCACACTATTCCTTTTAAAACCGGTCCATGGAATCTGCTTTCAACCACTAACCGCAAGGTCAACAGCAGGAAGCCACCTGCAGTAGTTCCTCCAGGTGCATCTACAGCCTGCGAAACCCAACGGGGCAAATCTGCTTTGTTCTTCAGGGTCGCTATGAGTTGGAATAGGCTGGATAGCAGTGAGTTTGGTTTTTGAGGTTCGCTAGCACCCTAATTTCAATGCATTGAGTTTCCTTTGGTCGTCTTTATTCAATGGCCAACTTTTCCTTGCACGCGAGGTGACTGGAAATACCCTGGCTCGGGGCAGGCATACCTCAGCCCTTAGAGTGGCTGCCTTGCTCATTTAACCCTTAGAGGTCTTTGTGCAGTGGATTCACCCTAATGCAGTACCAAACATAGCCTCCGTTTATTGGCCGTCTTCTGTTCCCCTGGGGGTGGGTGGGAGGTGGAGGCTGGGCTTCTTTTGTGGGGTCTCGCGCCCCTGAGCTCCCATCCCCGTACGAGGGGCTCAGGGGCGGCGTGCCAGTGGGGACAGCGGCCGCGGCGGAACCTTCGCGCAG